ACACCAGTTTTATAAGGCTACTCGTTCATTTCCTGAATGCATGGCAGCTGAGGCCCAAAATAACCAAACAAAAACTATATTAATTAAATCACTGCTTGGCCCATTATCTCTAGATAATTATTGGCTAACTCCTACATTTTAATTTAATTCATTTCTATTAATGTGGTGATAAATACAAGGTATAGACAAGGTCCTGGCTCATCTGTTCCCAGCAGCAGCTACATGGCATCTCTCTCTTTCTCCCAGCATTCAATTTAGTTTGCCCTACCTAGCTCTACTCTACCATATCACAGTCCAAGGCAAATTCTTTATTCATTAACCAATAAAAGCAACACATAAAAAAATGGACTTCCAACATCACTGGAGTTTATAGCACTTGGATACAACAATGCAAATAATATAGAACTGTATATAGACCACTCTAATCTGTGTGCCCAGAACATTCCAATTCTGTTACCAAAGTCATGTTTATATATAATCTAGAAATAATAATAATTTTCTTGTAATGATTTACAGAGAATCTACCATAGTGATGAGGCGAGCAGGCCTGCTTTTTGTCCTTCCCTGCTCCTGCATGGCTAGCTTTACACCCAAAATAACAACATACAAATTGTATTCATTTAAACACTGCCTGGCCCATTAGTTTCAACCTCACATTGGCTAATTCTTACATCTTGGTTAACCCATTTCTAATAATCTGTGTAGCACCACTAAGTGGTGGCTTACTGGGAAGATTCTAACCTGAGTCCATCTTGGGCCGGAGCTTCATCTCATCTGTCTCACTGCCTTTGTCCCAGCATCCTGTTCTGTTTACTCTGCCTACCTAATTTTCCATCCTATCAAAGATCCAAGGCAATTTCCTTATTAACCAATGAAAGTAACACATAGACAGATGACCCTCTTCCATCAATCTACTTCAAAATAAACCACTAATTTCTATATACAACGATAGAAGACACTGTATTTGAGCCCTCATTCACCTTATCTGATATCAACAACTCAATTTTTCCTTTGGAGATTTAAAACTTATCAATCTTATATAATTTGACAGTACAAATGAGGTACCCAAACATTCTGGTTTAGTGACAGCCCATATATCAAGAAATGATAAATTTTTGTTCAAAATATCTTAATCTAAAGCAGATTTATCCTCTTTGTTGCATCCCAGAGACTGCTTTTCACTGTTTCTCATTTTTTTCACAGATAATTTTACTCTTTCATTTCTCTCATAAGCTAAAATTTCATAATCTCACTTTCTGTAAGGTTTAATAATATTTCCATAATGTTTTTTTCTCAATTAACCATGCTTTGTTTATTTGATTACAGTTAAAGGATGTTAACAAGACAATAGATGATAAATCAGTTTGAGTTCTGACAACTTTCATATTCATGCATAATTCTACCTACACACTCACACACACACTCTCTCTCTCTCTCTCTCTCACACACACACACACAAACACACACAAAGATTAGAGATTTTTGTGTTCTCCTACTAATCTGATGCTTTAATTGGTATTTTAGACATGAGAGTCACTAATTAAGAACAAACAAGGTAACATGTAATTTTCAATAAATTAATTTTATCTATAGTCTTAAATAAAGCTAAGTTAGAAGGTCTTGGCAAAGAGCTTTAATTATAGGACAACATCTTATAAAATATAAAACAAAAAATGGCTCCAATAAATTAGTTATTTACTGCTTAATACACTTTTAAAATCATCTCTGGTTAGTAAGCACACTAGTCTAACAAAATTCTTTGTTTTTAATGTTCTGAATATATAGCTATTTACATTTTTAGTAGCAATTGTATTAAAATGAATAACAGATTGAAATAGAACATGACTCCTAATTTTTTTACAGACTGGTTTTCTGTTACTTTTTAGATTTATCATCTGCATTGTTAATACTACTTTCTGTATAGCAAGTTCACTTTATGTAATATAAAAATGGGAAAAATCATTAATTATGTACAATAATGCACATAGATATAGATATATTCAGGCTTATAAGCAACTGTATGAACACACTAAATAGCTGTGGCTAGTCTATCCTCCAACACCCCTCATCCCCAAACCCTCCTATTCACCTGTGAGATCTGTGGAATCCTAAAACACAGCTTGTTCCAATACTGAGGGGACCTAAGAGGCTAGTCAACATCCACAGGTCTGGACAGCCAGGTGTCCCACTCTGTAGGACCTCCTTGGTGGGATAAAACCCAAAGGCACCTCTCCAAATTCCTTGGCTTTTCTAGTTGCCAGTAGGGTGTTTTCCTGTGGCTAGGCTAGGCCCCACCCCACCTATTTGCCTGCGAACTCTGTGGAACCTTGAATCACAGCTTGCTCCAATACTGAGGGTACCTAAGAGGTGAGTCAATAGCCACAGGGCCAGACAACTGGGTGCCCTACTCTCTAGGACATCCCCAGTGGGACAAAACCCAGGGGGTTTCCCCCTACTCCCTCATCTTTTCTAGCCAGGAAGCAGGGAATTTTCCTGTGGCTAGGCTATGCCTGAAACCACCCCAATTCCAAACTCACCTATCTGCTTATAAGTTCCATTGAACCCTGAAACACAGCTTGCTACAATACTGAGGGGGAACTAAGAGGGCAGGCCAAGAAAAAAAATCTCAAATACTCAGCCGCATCAAGGATTGGACCAAGATGCCAAGACACTGCTTGCCTATTTTGAAGGAAGTGATGGTTACGTGCCACTGCAAGAATTTCTCCAACAACCTGAAAGGCAACATGGTAACACCAGAGCACAGACTTCATCATCCTAACCCAGAATAAGTAGAAGAAACTGACTTTAAAGATAACTTTATAAAAATGATGGCCAACTATAAAAAGGAAGTGAAAAACTCCCTTAAAGAATTGGAAGAGAAGACAAAAAAAGTTGGAAGAAATTAATAAGTCCCTCAAAGAAACCCAAGAAAACTAAGAAAAACAATCAAACAGGTGAAGGACTTGAAGACTGAAATAGAGGTAATAAAAATAAAAAAAAAAAAACACAAACTGAGGGAATTCTGGATATGAAAATTCTGTATAAACAGGAACAACAGAGACAAGTATAATCAACAGAATATAAGGGATAGAAGAAAGAATCTCAGGTGCTAAAAATACTGTAGAGGAAATAGGCTCATTGGCCAAATAAAACATTAAATCTAACAAATTCTTAACACAAAACATTTAGGAAATCCGGGACAACATGAAAAGACCAAACTGAAGAATAATAGGGGAAAAAGAAGAAGAACTCCAGCTCAAAGGCACAGAAAATGTATTCAACAAAATTATAGAAGAAAACTTTCCCAATCTAGACAAGGATATCCCTAAATGTATAAGAAGCTTACAGAACACCAAAGACACTAGATCAAAAAATTAAAATCTCCTCTCTATAATAATCAAAACACAAAACACACAGAACAAAGAAATATTAAGAGCTTCAAAGGAAAAAGGTCAAGAAACATATCAAGGTAAATTTATTAGAATTATACCTGACTGCTCAATGGAAACTATGATATCCAGAAGGTCCTAGATAGATGTGTTGCAGACAATAAAAGATCATTTGTATGCAAGCCCAGACTACTATATCCAGCAAAGCTTTTAGTCACCATCATTGGAGAAAATAAGATATTCCATGACATAAACAGAGTTAAAAAATATGTATCCATAAACCCAGCTTTAGGGGAAGTACTAGGAGGAAAACCTCAACCCAAGGAAGCTAACTACATCCACAATAACAGAGACCTCTGATAACCTCCCCACCAGCATAACCCCCAAAAGGGAAACACACAAACACTACTACTGAAAAATAACGAGAGTTATTAATACCACTTAACATCAGTGTGCTCAATTCACCTATAAAAAGACAAAGGCTAAGAGAATGAATACAAAAACAGGATCCAGCCTTCTGCTGTTTACAAGAAATACACCTCTACCTCAAAGACAGATACTACCTCAGAGTAAAGGGTTGGGAAAAGATTTTCCAATCAAATGGACCTAAGAAACAAGTGTGTGTGGCTAGACTGATATCTAAAAAATAATAATTTCAAACTAAAATTGATCAGAAGAGTTGGAGAAGGATATTTTATACTCATAACAGAAACAGTTCATCAAGATGAAGTCTCAATTAAATATCTATGCCTCTAATACAATAACACCCACATATGTAAAAGAAACATTACTAATACTTAAATGCACATCACACCCTAAACACTAATAGTAGGGAATCTCTATACTCCTCTCTCACCAATGGACAGGTCAACCAGACAGAAACTTAACAGAAACATAAGAGAACTAACAGATGTAATGAATCAAATGAACTTAAGAGACATCTATATAACATTCCACCCAAACACAAAAGAATATACCTTCTTCCAAACACAAAAGAATATACCTTCTTCTCACCACCTCATGGAACCTTCTCTAAAATTGATCACATATACAGTAACAAAGCAAACATCCACAGATACAAATATATCAAGTAACCCCCTGTTCTTGATAATACAAAATTATCAAGTAATCCAGATCAGCATGGATTAAATTAGATTTTTAACAACAATACTACTCCCAGAATGCCTACAAACTCATGAAAAACTGAAAAGTCAACTACTGTACCATTCCTGGGTCAAGGAAAAAATTTAAAAAAAATTAAAGTCTTCCTTGAATTTAACAAAAATAAAGGCACAATGCATACAAACCTAAGGGACACTATGAAAGCAGTGCTAATACTACACAAAGAAAATGGAAAAAGCTCACATTAGCAACTTTACAGCACAACTGAAAGCCCTAGAAAACAAAAGGAAGCAGACTCACGCAGAAAGAGTAGAAGACAGGAAATAAATCAAACTGAGGGCTGAAATCAACAAAAATAGAAACAAAGAAAATAATACAAAGAATCAATGAAGAGCAGTGTGAAGAAGCAGCGAGAACGACCCCCTGACGGACCCGAGCTGCGCACCTCTGCAGCCCCGTGTTCAGCACCGACGTTACCCCACCCCCCCCATGCCCAAAAGAAAGGCTAAAGGGGATACTAAAGGAGATAAAGCCAAGGTGAAGGACGAGCCACAGAGAAGATCGGCAAGGTTGTCTGCTAAACCTGCTCCTCCAAAGCCAGGGCCCAAGCCTAAAAAGGCCCCCGCAAAGAAGGGAGAGAAGGTACCCAAGGGGAAGAAGGGGAAGGCCGATGCTGGTAAGGATGCCAATAATCCTGCAGAGAATGGAGATGCCAAAACAGACCAGGCACAAAAAGCTGAAGGTGCTGGAGACGCCAAGTGAAATGTGTGCGTTTTTGATAACTGTGTACTTCTGGTNCAGAATTTTGTTTTACTTTTTTTTTAAAAGCTATGTTGTTAGCACACAGAACACTTCATTGTTTTGGGTGGGGAGGAAAATGTGTCACTAGCAGTGTCCCCCAAGCTGGATGGATGATGGTTCATGATGGAAAACATCTTTCCCTGATAATTTTGAAAGACTCCTCTTGGCTCCCAGGAGAGACCCCCTGGGGACACGTTGACATGTGTGGCCACCATGGCACAGCATGCCTTGTGTGGGAAAACTCAGTTCATTTTTATATCCTCCTCCCCCTGTACCATCAACATAGACTTAACTCCCTTAAGACTGTTGGAACCTGATCCCCAAAATTGGTTTTGCCAGTCTGTTGGGCAATCCGGACTTTGCAGTGATATCATTGAGTGTCCTCAAAAGCGCAGCGGTTCCTTTTATAGAAGATTGTGGATCTGCACATTGATAATTCTGCCATTTTCATTTCATTTCCTGAAAGTCAGGGTCGGCTTGTGAAGAGTTGTGAAACAACATCCTCGATGTGAAATGTCAGCCCTCACTCTAAATTCCTCCCCCTTTGCAGAGCATCCAATGGAGACTCACCGGGTTTTATAGTGGCTTTCTGATTTTGGTAGTCGATACAAGAAGGGAGTTTGGAAGTTCTTGTATACTGTTACTGATTGTCTGCCCATGTTCTGCCTGGAAAACCATGATTGTTTATGAAAAGTGTCTTTAATAAAGCTGGATACAGTTTGGCTTGGAAAAAAAAAAAAGAATCAATGAAACAAAGAGCAGGTTCTTTGAGAAAATCAATAAGATTGACAAACCTTTATCCAAACTAAGCAAAAGGCAGGGAGAAAACATCCAAATTAACAAAATCAGAAATGAAAAGGGGGACATAACAACACACACTGAGGAAATACAGAGAATCATTAGGTCTTGCTACAAAACCTGTACTCAAAAAATTGGAAAAATGGCAAAGAAATGGGCAATATTTTGGACATATGCCAATACCAAAATTAAATTAAGACCAGGTGAGCAATTTAAATACACCTATAAGCCAAGAGGAAATAGAAGTTATCATCAAAAACCTCTCAACTAAAAAAAGCTCAGAGCCGATTAGTTTTAGTGAAGAATTCTACCAGAACTTCCAAGAAGAGCTTATACTTATAATCCTCAAAGGTTCCACATAATAGAAACAGAAAAATCATTGCCAAACTCTTTCTATGAGGCTGTGGTTACCTTGACACCAAAATTGCACAAAGACTCAACCAAAAAAAAAAAAAAAAAGAATTACAGACTAATCTCACTCATGAACATGAATTCAAAAATTCTCAATAAAATACAAACTAAGTCCAAAAACACATAAAAAAATCATTCATGTTCAAGTAGTCTTCATCCCAGAGATGTAGGGCTGGTTTAACATACAAAAGTCTATCAATGTAATATATCATATAATTAAACTGAAAGAACAAAACATATGATCATTTCATTATATGCTAAAAAAGCATTTGACAAAATTCAGCATTTCTTCATGATAAAAGTCTTAGAGAGATAGGGATACAAGGATCATATCTAAATACAATAAAAGCAATATACAGCAAGCTGACAACAAAATTAAATAACATGGAGAGATAATAAAAGTATTACACTAAAATCAGAAACAAGACAAGACTGTACACTATCTCTTTATCTCTTCAACATAGTTCTTGAAGTTTTAGCAGTAGCAATGTTTTCTTAAACATAAGGAGATGAAGGAGATTCAAATTTGAAAGGAAGAAGTCAAACTTTTGTAATTTTCAGATATGATAGTGTATATAAGTAACTTAAAAAATTCTACCAGAGAACTCCTACAGCTGATAAATACCTTCAGTGAAGTGGCAGGGATACAAGATCAACTCAAAATATTCAGTAGCCCTCCTATACACAAAAGATAAAGAAGCTTTGGAAATCAGTATGGTGGTTTCTCAGAAAATTTGCGAATCAACCTACCTCAGGATTCAACAATACCATTCTTGGGGATATGCCCAAAAGATGCTCAATCATACTACAAAAGCATTTGTTTAACTATGTTTATAGCAGAATTATTTGTAATAGCCAGGAAACAACCTAGATGGCCCTCAACTGAAGAATGGATAAATAAAATATGGCACACTTACACATTAGAGTACTACTCAGTGGTAAAAAAAAACAATGACATCTTGAATTTTGCATAGAAATAGATGGAATTAGAAAACACTATGCTGAGCTAGGTAACCCAGACCAAAAAAAAAAATGAATATGGTTTATATTTACTCATAAGTGGATATTAGCCATAAACAAACAACACTGAGCTTATACTTCATGATCCCAGGGAAGCTAAATAAAATCCAAAGAAAAACAAGCATTGACCCACCTAGAAAATGGAAATGGACAAGATCATCTGACAAAATTGAAAGCATGGGGGTGGGGCTTAGAAGGAAGGGAAGAAGGGAAGAGTTGAGAAGACCTTGGAATGGCGTAGTCGAGATGGAGGAAGAACAGATACGAGAGCAAGGAAAGAGATACCTTGATTGAGGAAGCCATTATGGGGTTAAAAAGAAACCTGGATTTAGAAAATTTCCCAAGAATCCACAAAGATGACCCCAGCTAAGCCCCTAAGTAATAGAGGAGAGTGTTCCTGAACTGGCCTTTCCCTATAGTCAGACTGATGATTATCTTAAATGTCACCATGGAACCTTTGTCCAACAAAAGGAGGAAACAGAGGCAGAGACCTACATCAAAGCACTGGACTGAGCTCCCAAGGTCCAGTTGAAAAGCTGGAGGAGTAAGAGTATGAGCAAGACCATCGGAAGTTCACCCAGTGAGACAGTTTGCCTGAGGTAATATGAACTCACCAACTCCAACTGGACTGAGAGTGAATGAGCATGGGATCAAACTAATCCCTCTGAATGTGGTAGACAGTTGGGGTAGACTGAGGGGATACTGACAGCGGCACTGGGATTTGTCTCTACTGCATGTACTGTCTTCTAGGGATCTTAGTCTATTTGGATGTATACCTTGCTCAGCAAAGATATAGTAGAGAAGGCCTTGGACTTTCCACAGAGCAAGGTACCTTGCCCTTCTCTTAGGATTGGTGGGGGTCGGGTGGGTGGGTATGTGGAGGGAGTGAGAGGAGGGGAGGGAGTGGGGATTTGGATTGGTATTTTTTTAAAGTAATAAAATAAAATAAAAAACCATTAAATATTCAAACAACCCAAATGTGTTCATACTAGCCATACCACATCATGATACAATTTTGCCTTTTATCTTAGAACATGTAACCAGGAATGCCAGTACCTGTAGAAAATATGCACATGGAGTTTTTTGACAGGAATGTTAAAAACTTTTGGAAATGTTGTTTAATATAATTATGCAGAGATCTTCACAATGAATCTTATTTTTTACTTACATCTTACTTCAATAAAGTGCTAGTTTTAGCATTCTGTCTCTTAGCTTGTTCCGTGTCTTTCAGTAATCAATCTTCTCATAAAATTAGCACCATGTTATTAGGATAGAAGTAAATGAAACATCATCATTCTCTACATCATATTTGTTATCAACTTCTCAAAATACTGCTGTACACAAAGTTTTATTGATGCTGTCATTCCTCCAAGTGAAACCTCTTGTCTAGTGATCTGAGTTGCTCTAATTTGTCCCACAATCTTTCTTGTTACCATAGAGACATATTTTTCTCTTGTAGTTCTTATCTTTTATGAGATCTTATTACTTCAGCCAGATTATAAGTTCCTAAGTGTTGGAATAAATGTTTTATTCATACTTGTTTTCAACCAGCATTTTCCCCAGAGTGTTTCACAGAACACTTTCTTGATAAATGCATGCTGAGCCATTGATCGACTTGAAAATGAGTATGATTTCTATAGTCTCCAGAATCCTTAAAGGTTCTTAAAATCTTGGACAAGAACTGCAAAGTCAAGTTCTTACTGTTTTAGAAGGTGATCAAAGAGAATGGACTGCAACCTGTCCTTCCTTTATTGGTAGATCTAGCCAGAGGTTTAGCATTCAGGTCTAAAGTGACATAAAATATTATATAAATGCTTAAAAATGAGTCAGATATATGCTTACTCTCTATTATCTACAATTGCTTAAAGAAAAATAAAGAGGCAGTATTTATTTTCCTAAGTAATGTTAAGTATCACTGAATTTTTACTGAAGAATTAGTTTATTCACATGAGGAAAATGGAAAGCAAATTAAATGAAGTATGGTACACTTCAAATATGATATCTGGATGAGACTAAGACCACAGAGTCTTAACATTCCCTAATGGTGTAGGCAATCACAAAGGTCTGGGTTCATATAACAATCATATTTCTACTAATTACATCTATAACAGTCAAAATGCCAGTGTTGTGACAGTGATGAAAGCATCCATTCCTGAAGAGAAAAAAAATGTATACAGAAAAGTTACACATAGGCTGTGTATTAGCAAAATGAGTTTTTCTTTTAAATATAAATACATATGGTATAATATGATACATATTACATTGGAAGAGGAACTTAAATTTGCTTTACTGGAAGTTTGTTCTAATATTTTTACTTAGAATAAACATCATATAAGAGTAAATTTTCTAAATATGAATAGCATATGCCAGACTTCCATCTGATATCATAATTTTTAACATTATTATGTTAACTGATATTCAGTGCCTGTACTATTTCACACTTTTAGTAATATTGCCTGCCCTGTAAATAATTGCAATGAAGTAAACACTGCTTTTCAATATCTCCAGGACAATAGGGGAAAGCAATCTGAATCTATATGGTGAGAAGGAACAGCAAGACTCAAAAGCAATTCTTTGACTTCTACATATTGTAAGCCACTTTGTAAAGTATACATGGACATGCATTGTACAAATATGCACACATAAACACACACTAAATAAATGTGAAATAAAATGAACATTTGTGAAGTCATAGAAGCAAGATCCTAACTATAAAGTCTCATCACATTCTGTAGTCATTTGTAAGTTCTGTTTCTCTACCTCCTCAGAAAAATGCTGTTTCTCTGCAGGTACATGATGAAGGAGGGTTTACAGTTTGAGAACTAACTGACCTCTTAATAAAATACATGTTTACCTCCACAAAGACATTGTGTAATGTTTGCCATTTATTGGGATGTATGTGAATACAAAATAATCTTAATAATAAATAGCAAAATGGGAGTAGAAAAACAGCACAGCATTTAACAGAACATACCATCTTTCTGAGGAACCAAGATTGGTTGTAAGCACTCATGTCAGACAGCTCTCATTTGCCTGTAATTCCAGATCCACAACATCTTCTAGACTCCACAAGTATCTGCATATATATTCATATGCAGACATACACACACAATTAACATAAAATAAATCCTTAAAAGGTAACCGAAGTTATTGTCTATAAAAGGTCAATATTAACTTACTTTTATGACACTATAGTCCATATAAATTTTTATAAATCCTAACAATAAAAATACAGAAATGCCATATTTGCTAATATTGGTCATGATTTTTACGTATCATTTAAAAAAGGAAAACACATTTGAGTAAACCTCAGAGCAATTTCTTAATGCTTGGCTCACAGAGAAATATGAGAATTCTTGTGGCATAGTGTCCACCACTTAACAAAAAACAATGCTAAGAAGGGGAACCAATTTCAAGAGATTGTATGAGAGTAAATATAGTCAACAAGGAATAACATGTATCTCTTAAAAAGCATCATAAATGGATGGGAAAGGCAAATATATTGAATTAAATTCAGAAAAAATTATGTACCATGAATGTTAGTTGCCAACATTATGAAAATGATTTAAAGTCAAAATGTGTTCCAAGCATAGCAACATTAGACTTAAGACAAAAATTTGATAAATCTGAAGACATAAGCAATTATACAAAGTTCAATCATTTGAAATTGCTTGAGACAAGCCTGAGTTTCTGCTTGTGAGAAAATAATATAAGATTGTACTTAACTTCCCACTCATATTCCTTACTTCAGAAAAGGTAAACACTAGACAGGTATGGTCTTTAACTGGAAAAAGTCATGAAATCTTGACTTGCATTGCATGGAATTCAGTCTTTGTCCTTCCTATTTCTTTTAGGGATCAATCTAGGAGTATACTTCACCTTTCCCAATGAATAAGTGATTATTCATTTAAGCCTTTTTTGGCTTCCCATTTTTAATTACTGCTTAACATTACCATTGTCTCAATTCATGTACAATATTCTGAAAAATGCAATGCTTTCTCAAGAGATTTTCAATAATATGATTTACAAGGTAATTAATAAAATTAAGGTAACAGACACCAATAGACTCTTTAGATATCCTTAAATGTCTTTGTTCATCGGCCCTAAAATATGGTAAATATTAATATGCCTTTACACCTTTTAATGCCTTCAACTGTGGGAAAAGATTTTGTTCCTCATAATTAAATAATTTAGGCACAATTTAAATAGAAGTATCATTATCATCAATATATGATTTTTGCACACTGTGAGCATGATTTTGAGAGTTTGTTTTAATTAAATTGATTAATAAAAAATGGCTCAGATCTCTGGATCTATGGAGTGGCTCCTAAACTGTATAAGAATGTGGAAACATTTCGTACCCATATTCTACAATTTTAGGAAATTTCACAAGGTTGCACATTATGTGAAGTGCTATAGACAATGACCACTGAGAAAGAAAATCAGTCTTCTCCAGGGGACCATCAATCATAAATGCATGTACATATTAGCAACACTAAAGAAACTCAGCAGGTTGCATTTAAAATTTTATATATGTGTGTATATTATATATATTATAATTAAATAATTAATTAAGAATACAAGCCAAGAACTGGTAAAAAGCAAGTGAGCATGCATGCATTTGTTCACTTTCTGTATTGACTATTAATACAATGTGGCCAACTGTCTCATGTTCCCACTGTCATGATGTACTGTAAAATGTAACTGTGAGGAAAATTAACCCTATTCTTTAACTTGATTGTTGTAAGTATATTTTAAAAAAAGAAAAAGAAATTTACTAGAATTTAACAACCATGGGTTGAGGAAATATATTACATACAAAGTAAACACCATTCCCATAATATCTCAAGTATATTTTACTTACTATGTTTATCCCAAGCTACAGGTATCATTCATCACATTCACACAAATACACACATACATGCAAATACACAAACTGATCTCAAATGAGAGGGTGTAGATAATTTGAAATGTTTGCATATATAAATATACTCAAAGATATTATTTGATAAAAATGTCTATTTTTAGAATAATTTAAACTAACTGCATACATAGATGAGGTATATTTTTATTTTTACTACTAGAAACAGTAAAGTTAATAAGCTCAAATTGTCCACAGACATCAATTTAAAAGATAGATTAATTGATCCTTAATTTAATTAATCAATTAATTCCTTTACTCCTTTATTGAATTAGCAGAGATGCTCTGTAGTTTCTATCCTGCTGAAATATTAAGACTATAGTGCTTTGCACATAAAGAATGTAGACATTAATAGTTACAGACCAGAAAGGACCATTATACAGAAGTATGAATGTGGATACAAGAATAGTGATGAATGTAGTAGTAAAGTGGAGCAAAAAGCCTTTACCTCACTGGGCTATTGGAAGAATCAGGGTCATGTGCTGTTACAGTGCCAATGATATTTCCCACTTGTGTAGCTTCTGACACCTCCATGGGGTACAAAGGTGAAGAAAACACAGGGGGCTCATCCACATCTTCTACAATTATCTTTATAGTAGTTGTGTCACTGAATGGACCCAAACTTAGAAACCGGGGATCAGCTTCACGATTTGCAGCCTCTATGCGCAGTGTATAACTTGTTTTGGCTTCAAAATCGAGTTCCTGTAAGGAAAGTTATTAGTGAAATTAGATAGTCACCAAAGCAAGCCTTTTCATTTATGAATATCAATAACTATAGTGGAGACTCTGTCATGAAACTGCACCATCAGCACTTAAACACAATAAAAGTTTATGCCAATCAGAATCCTTACTAATTTTCTGGCTCAGACCATGGTAAGTCCTTTAGAGCTAACTTAATCCATTCTACTTCCATGCATTTCTGGGACAGACACAATTCTTCATAACATTATCTGAAAGAATATGATCTGATTTAAAATATTTTCCAATAGGGGATAAGTGTATTATTCTTAACTCATATAATCCATACATTTTATTCAGAAATATAAATTAAAATGGAAGAGAAACTATACATCAAACTCAAATTCTCATTGAATAGATAGGTGACTTAGGTGACTCATATTTTTACTTCCCAGGTGCTCAGACTTTAACTTTAGTGGCATTGGAAATGTATCAATGTCTCTCAAACACATACAGCAGCCTTTCTATAAGGCACTCACTGGTGCTGCTTTCTTCAATGGTCCATTGCTAAACACCAAAACACTACATAGATGTCTAATACTTATATCTCAGAATTTTAAATCTATATGTATCTTCTTAAGAGGACTAATGATTTTCAAATATTCTTTAAAAGCAGTCATTGGAAGCTTGATTGTAAACATTAAATATTTCATTAAAAATCACCATATGTTCAAATAGGAATCATATATGTGGTATGAAGATGCTTGGAAAAATAATATGTGGAGTGTGACAGCTTTTTCTAGTTTTCATTCTCAATCTAATCACTGAATAACATGTAGAGAGACAACTTTTTTACCTTCCATTCTCAATCTCAACATTGAATAAATTCAAATTCTCTACATATGATACAAAACAGAATGATATTAATGTAATAATAAAGAAAATGATAGAAATTATTTCGATTCCAAAAGACATTAGAAATATTGAACAGGAAATACATTGAAAATATAATAGTGATTGTTAGAATGCAAATCTATTGCTGGGAGAAAAGACCAGTATTTTGTTTATAGGCATCTTAGCTCACAAATTAAGTAAGATATTCACCTCTGTAGGGCAAGTTCTGGGCCCAAGATGGTGCAAGAGAATTGTCTGTAATCTGTCAATCATGTTTTAAATAAATGCTGATGGGCAAGGCAGGAAGTATAGGTGGAAAAAACAGACAGGAAGTAGAAATGATGCAATGAGAACAGGAGAATTCTGGGAAGGAGGAAGTTGATTCCTCCCACTCCTGCCCAGACCACCAAAGCAGCAGGATGTGACCTGCCAGCTTAAAAAAGGTACTGAGCCATATGGCAAAAATAGATCAGAATAATGGATTAATATAAGCTACAAGTGCTAATAAGTAGCCTTACCTAATGGGCTGATTAGCTTTATAATGTATAGAGATCTCTGTGTGATTTTCTTTGGGGCTTGCTGGCTGTGGGGTACCGGGCAGGACAGAAACCCCAAGGAGCAGGCCCTCTCATGTTAAAGAATGACACTCATGTGGATAACTGCATCCAGAGAAAGCTTGGGACAGACTAGAGTAAAGCATTTCAGTTTTCAGCCAAAGCAGGAAAAAAGCTGTGCTGTTCTAAAATGTTGGCTTTCTGGGCCCTCCTGCCAGGGAAAACTCTGACTCTTTCAAGCAGGTGGTCTGGACTATGGGGCTATGGACACACTGTGGCAGCTTGCTTCCTGGCAAGGACCTTGAAACACCATAGGAGATTTGAGTGTTGTTTATGGATACACTGTTGCAGCTTGCTTGCTGGCAGGGACCTTGAAAAGCCATACAGTTGTGGAAATAAACATGGCTCCAGCCAGTACCTCAGTGATGATTGCTTGGTGAATTAAAGGCTCATATGTTCAGAATAAGAGAGGTATACAGTAAAGAGAGATTCAAAGAGGAAGAAAACCTCTAAATGGTTAACAGTGTGTTAGAAATATATACAGGCTAAAGGTTAAAGTTCTCAGAGGAAAAAAAAAAAGAAACTAAGAGTAGTACTCCTGCTTGTGGTGACACACACCAGTAGTATTTTCTTGGGAGGCAGACACAGATGGATCTCTGTGAGTTCAAAGACAGCCTGGTCTACAGAGTTATTCCAGGACAAAGATATATAAAGAACCTGTCTCAAAAAGTAAAAATAAAAGAAATAGAGGTTAAAATAAAGCCACATAAAGATGGGAAATACACAGAGAATCTTGATACTGTATGCTATTATGCTCTCTTTAAATTGTTTGAATGCTGAGGAAGGATCAACACTTGCTTATAAATGCTGCAGAATTAATCAAAGATAGGTATTTTGAAAATACCTTGATGTCAAAATTGAAGTCAAAAGGTATGTGACTTTGAGAAGAGATTTTGCTTTTGTTTCCACAGAAAATGAGAGGCTCTGGATTTATTCAGAGTTAAGAAAAATCAGCTTTGATCAAGGAAGACCACCTGAGAAATCTCTGGCAGGAATAGATGGCCCAGATGTCTGAGTTCTTCATCCAGAACAGGTTCAAGACTGCTGCGTGAGATGATCAAGACTCACAGGATACTTCAGTCAGAACTTGATCATAACTCTAAATTTTCTTTAGGTCCCTATAAGATTATCAGTGCCCCCAATCAGCTGGAAGTAGCCTGGAAAACGATGCCCACATTCCCAAAAAATGAACTATGGATATTTTCCTTAAAAAAAAAAAAAAGAGGGGGAAGTTGTACAGGAGAATTGTCTGTAATCTGTCAATCATGTTTTAAATAAATGCTCATTGGCCAGGCAGGAAGTATAGGTGAGAAAAACAGACAGGAAGTAAAAATGATGTAATGAGAACAGGAGAATTCTTGGAAGGAAGAAGTTGATTCCTTCCACTTTTGCCCAAACCACCGAAGTAGCAGGATGTGATTTGCCGCACTGAAAAAGGTACTGAGCCACATGGCTTACATAGATCAGAATAGTGAGTTAATGTAAGTCACAAGAGCTAATATGTAGCTTGACCTAATGGGCCAATCAGCTTTATAACTTTAGAGATCTCTGTGTGATTTTCTTTGGGACTTGCCAGCTGTGGGGAATTGGGCAGGACAAGAATTCCAACAAATAGGATCCCTTCGTGTTACACCAGGAAACAACTCTTATCTCCCTCTGTGAGTTAAGTATGCCTTCAGTCCCCAGGCTTCAGAAGTAATTAGCAGACCCTCAGCATTTCCTTATCTCTTCCTATCAGCTAGGGATGTCTCCAAACCTGACATTCTAGCATCCTACTCTTCTCTCTGTTTTATTCACTATATAATGCTTCTGAGAAAAAATAAAGTTGACAGCTTGATCCAAATACAGACTTGCTGTCCATTTCTCATTTCTCTTGCCTGCCATTCCTCTCCTTCAGAATCCGGTTCCCTATTCATGTCCCACTGGTCAGGACATCATGTCCTGCTGGTTGGGGCAATTTACCAACTGTGCTTATAGGCATAAATGTATACATATGTGGGCATTCAGATATTCCAAATAATCTTCAAAAGGGTATAAAATCAACCAAAATGTATTTTAAATAATTTACATAATATAAATTACATTAACATATATTACATGCAAAGCCATATACTAAAATCTATATATCATAAAGAGTATATAATAGTTATCCATATATTACCTATTGTATACATTATATTTTATGTATACTCTATATGAATTAAAATATATTTTATAACCTTAGTCTATATCATATAATATAGTGTTATTATATTATTTTATACTATAAATATAAAATATACACATATTTATATATTATATATACTCTAGTATTTGTGGCATAAACTATAATTTGAATAAATGTACATATATTTACTCTTACACACATATTTATATGACATACAGACACTATACAATATTACATTTTTTGCTGCCTCTCTTAGGCTAATATGAAAAATACATAAACTAATACACAAAATTGGTTAATTTCCCAACCTAGACAAATATTAATAACATGCTTATGTATGTTTCATGCAATGCTTATGACCCAGATTTTTTCCATACTCTTTTTTTTTTTAATATGTCACTGTGGTTTATTCTTTTTTTTATTTTTTAAAGTCAAAACAGTTATAATCACCTACACAGTGATTTGAGTTTCTCTTCTGTATGCTGTTTAATATGAAGCTGCTTTGGTCCTATAGTAGGGCAGAATAAAGCAAAGCAGGAATTCCAAGCAGAGATAGAGGAGAAAAGAAAGTGGAGTCAGACTCCATGTGTCTGCTGAAGGAGACAGATGCCCTGGAACCTTAGTGGTAAATCACAAGTCTTGTGATAAAATACAAAATAATAGGAATGGGGTAATTTAAGATGTCAGTATTAGTTAATAAGAATCCTAAGCCAATAGGCCAAGCACTGTTAATTAGTGTAGTTTCTGTGTGATTATTTTGAGTCTGGACAGCCAGGAATGAACAAGAATCTTCTGCCTACAACACAAGACTATTTCTTCTATAGAAATAAATTTGACAGTGTTAACAAAAAAAAAAAAAGATTTCTGACTCTTCCCCACCACCTTCTCCCATTTCCCTCTTCCCTCTTCCTCCCCCAATCCAGCACCTCCCTCGTTAGCCCAACGAGCAATCAAGTTTCCCTGCCCTGTGGGTTTTTTCCATGCTCTTATTCTCAGTACTCATTTTTCTTTATCTTTAGAAAAGAAGTTCAATTAATTCTTACTATATTATAGAAAAAATGCTGAATTAAACAATTGATATTGTGCATATACTACCTAAAAATTGAATTAAACCTATGAGCCAGATGACCCTGATAGCCCAAATGGGAAACACAGCAAGAAATACAATGGTATATATTTTATTCTTGATCAAAAACAAGCAAAGCAAAACAAGACAAACTGCAAATTGCTCTGTGGAAGGAGAATTAATAGTGTAAATCCATACAAAAATACAAAATATGCAGTGACATATATCTTGTTAGGACTTTTGCAGTATTGTAATAAGACAATTTCATTTTTAAGTTTTTCAT